ATGCAGGTTTGGCGCAGAGGATGCTGGGAGTCGCAGTCCGGGGTGGGTTTTTTTCATGAGAAGGGAGGCCTGGGAGTGCGAGGCCTAGACTGGCGGGGGCGGGGGCGACGCTTGGAGAGAGGCCGGGTCCGCCTCAAGAAAGGCCGGAAGGCCCGTGAGAGGCGGAGGCGGAGGCCTGGGCCTCCCCTGCGGGGAAGGGGACGCAGCCGTGACCCGCCTCTCTTTCTCCCCCTCAGGAGGATGGAGGAGCCGCCCGGGAGGAGGAGAAGGAGGAGGAGAGCGGCCCCCGCGGAGCAGCCCTGACCGGCCCCGTCGCGGGTTCCATGGGCGACGGCGGGGAAAGGCCTCGAGGCCCCTGGGCTGCATGTGGGATGAGCCCAGGTGGACCCCGGGAAAGGCGGCTGCCCGGAGGGCGATGCGGGGATAAGGACACGAGCGAAGACCCCGAGACGGGCCTGGAGGGCGGAGGGTCCCTCAGAAGCCCCGGGAGGCCCCGAAGGATCCAGGAGGGAGGAAAGAGATTTCAGTGCCCGGAATGCGAAAAATCCTTCACAACAAATGGAAATCTTCACGTGCATCTAAACATCCACTCAAGAGATGGATCATTTAAATGCCTGGAGTGTGGAAAAAGCTTCAGTTATAGGAGCAGCCTTTCTACACATCAAATAATCCACACTGGAGAAAAGCCTCATAAATGCCTGGAGTGTGGAAAGAGCTTTAGACATAGCAGCAACCTTTACACGCACCAAAGAATCCACACAGGAGAGAAACCCCATAAATGCCTGGAATGTGGAAAGAGCTTCAGATATAGCAGCAACCTTTACACACACCAACGAATCCACACAGGAGAGAAACGTTACAAATGTCTGGAGTGTGGAAAGAGCTTCAATACCAGTGGAAACCTACATAGACATCAAAAGGTCCATTTGAATAAATGCCTGGAGGGCGGAGAGTCCTTCGGAAGACCCAGGAGACCCCGAAGGATCCAGGAGGAAGGAAAGAGATTTCACTGCCCGGAATGCGAAAAATCCTTCAAAAGAAACGGACATCTTAAAAGCCATCTAAGCATCCACACAGCAGAGAAGAAACACGAATGCCCGGAATGCGAAAAATGCTTCAAAACAAATTCAAATCTTCAAAGGCACCTAAGGATGCACTCA